GGCAGATGTACCTGTGGTGAAGAGCAGGGCTTTCCAGTTAACGACTGAGGTGGCTTGCACGACACCTGATGTGGTGACAGGTATGCATCTTTGCCTTATCTTTTATTTATATCGAACTGCTTTATATTTATCTGTTTTGTTTTAGGATTGTTTGTCGTGAACGGTATTTCTGCACTAGTATTGTTTCATTCGGGGGCTACCCGATCTTTTGTGTCGTTTTCTCTTAGCAAGAAGTTTGTTGGAGCTTCGGGGGAGTTGGATTGTCCTTTGGATGTCGAGATTGCAGACGGTCAATTTGTCCGGGTAGCAAGGGTTCATCGGGGTTGTACTATTCAGATGTTCAACGGGTAGTATATGATTGATTTGGTTCCCATCTCTTTGCGTGGGAACAAGGTTATTGTAGGTATGGACTGGATGAGTCCCAATGGGGCGGTGATTGATTGTGAGCAGCAGTTAGTTTGGATTCAAACCCTAGGTGGGAGAGAGTTATTGGTTTAGAGAGAGAGAGAGAGAGAGAGAGAGAGCTCATAGTGGGTTGCATTTGTGTTCAACAGCGAGGGCCATGTGTTATATTTAGCAGCGTTGTTTGGATTTTTCGCTTGTCTTATGGATACCCGAGATAAGGGTAAGGTGACCGTGGATGATGTGCCGACTGTGCGGGATTAATCCGATGTGTTTCAAGAGGATTTGCCTGGGGGTGCCTCTGGAGAGGCAGGTTGAGTTCAGGATTGATCTGGTTCCAAATGCGGCTCCGATAGCCAAAGCACCGTATCGATTAGCTCCTCCCGAGATGCAGGAGTTGTCTACACAGTTGCAGGAGCTGTTAGACAAGGGTTTCATCCGACCGAGCAGTTCTCCATGGGCAGTGCCAATCTTGTTTGTGAAGAAGAAAGATGGTTCCATCGTATGTGCATTGACTACCGGGAGCTGAATAAGGTAATGGTGAGGAACCGTTATCCACTCCCGATGATTGATGATCTGTTTGACCAGCTTCAGGTTGCATCATGGTTCTCCATGTTTGACCTGCGTTTGGGTTATCATCATATGATGGATAGGGGATGAGGATGTGCATAAGACAAGTTTTCAGACTCATTATGGTCATTACGAGTTCGTGGTGATGCCTTTGTGGCTCACCAATGCTCCAACCGTATTCATGGATCTCATGAACCGCATGTGTAGGCCGATGCTGCATCGGTATGTGATTGTATTTATTAATGATATCTTGGTCTACTCCAAGACCCAGGAGCAACATGAGGATCATCTGAGGGAGGTGCTTGAGACTTTGAGGAGGGAACAACTTTTTGCAAAGTTCTCCAAGTGTGAGTTCTGGTTACATGATGTGCAGTTTCTGGGGCACCTTGTCAACAAGAATGGTATTCTGTTCGATCCGACCAAGGTTAAGGCCGTGATGCGGTGGGAGGTTCCGAGGTCTCCATCTGAGATTCGGAGTTTCCTTGGGCTAGCAGATTACTATCAAAAATCCATCAAGGATTTCTCAAGGATTGTTGTTCCTTTGACTCGGTTGACAAAGAAGACGGTTACTTTTTGCTAGGGGCTTGAGCAACATGCAACCTTTGAGACCTTGAGACAACGGTTGTGTGAGGCTCCGATTTTGACTTTGCCGGAGGGTGTTGCGGATTTTGTGGTTTATTGTGATGCTTCGATCACGAGTTTGGGGGCAGTATTGATGCAAAGGGGTTGCATGATCGCTTATGCTTCGAGGCAGCTGAAGCCTCATGATGAGAACTATCCGACGCATGATTTGGAGCTAAGGGCTGTGGTTTTCGTCCTCATGATTTGGCAGCAATATCTCTATGGAGTCCGTTATACTATTTACACGGATCACAAGAGCTAAGGTATATGATGGATCAGCCAAATCTGAACAGGAGGCAACGCCGATGGTTGGAAGTGGTGAAGGATGATGATTGTGAGATCATTTATTACTCGGGGAAGGCCAATGTGGTGGCCGATGCTCTCAGCCACAAGGCGGTTGCGGCTCCGATCAAGGATATATGTTTGAGGATGACCGTGATTACTCTGCTTTTGGAGTGAATTCGTGAGGTTCAGGTCGAGGCTATGAAAGAAGAGCACCGAAAGAGTGAGCGTATTGTGGGTCAGGTGGTTTCCTTCGATTATGATAGCCGTGGATTGTTGACTCTTCATCAGCGGTTTGGGTTCCGTATTGGGGCAGTGTGCGCCAAGTTCCGATAGAGGAGGCACACAAGTCTAGTTTCTCAATTCATTCCGGGGCATCGAAGATGTATAGGGATCTTCGTCCTGACTATTGGTGGCTATACGGAAAGCGGGATGTGGCATGACATGTGGAGCGGTGCTTGACTTGCAGGAAAGTTAAGGCCAAGCCTCTGCGACCTATCGACAAGATGCAACCATTGGAGATTCTCGTATGAAAACGGAAGGATATTACCATGAATTTCATCACAAAAGATAATTCCATCTTTCACGGCAAGATGAGTGAGGTATTTCCTTGACTCCTTAACATGATTTATCATACAAAACAATAATGAAAGATAACTCCATCTCTTCTTAATCGACATAAATTTGTATTTTTCTTTGTAATTTCAAAACACAATTCAATCTTAAAGTTTTAAAAAAACTATTGGTGTATTTTATGTTGTTTTATATGATTTTAATTGAATAAATTGAATGAGTCTGAATATATTTCCTTGTTTGGTGTGTTTTGCGATGGATGAAAGAAAAAAACTAACGGGGGATTGGGTTGAAAGTTCTAATAATGTTTAATTTAGATGTTAAAAATCGATGGGGGAGGTTTTGGAGATCGAGAGGTTGAATCCGAAATTGGAGATCGGCAGATTGATTAATCAAGTGTGCCGGTCCGTATTCATCTCTCTTCCTTACGTGCTTCCGAGATCTGTCGAATCCTCATCGGTTTCTCGTACAAATTATTGTATCCTACAACCACAAGTAGCCAATCCGAACCCCTAATTAATCCCTAATTACTCTTGACGATGAATCTCCACACACAACTTTATAACACCGAAGGTGTAAGCACGGAAGACTTTTTATCTGTCGTCTTCTTCCTCTGTTATCTGTGTTTCCTAGGGATTTGGGTTCTCGTATGCTTGAGAAACCGGCCATATGTTAACAAGATTCACATACTGATGTGTGCGTTGCTTGTTATCGTGATGCTTGACTTGATCTGTGGGCCACCGGATAAACAGTATGTGAAGATTACACATAATGCTGATTCTCATGGCTGCGATATCATAATTTACACCTTAAAGTTTTTCAGGCTTGTGTTTTTCTACGCCATTATCGTGTTGATAGGTTCTGGATTGTTTTTCGTGAGGCCGTTTTTGCTAGTAAGAGAGAAGATAATTGTGATGAGTGTGATGATAGTTAATATAGCTTTTATAGTGATATGGGAAGCAAACCCTTCTGATATAGAGTACGAGAATTGGTATGTTGACTTTCTGTTTGCAGACTATATCTGCTTTATTAGCTTATCTGGTTAAAGGAAGCTGCTAAGGGGGAAGGAAAGGGTGCTACGAGTTCTGCAAAGATAAAAATATTTGAACACTTCTTTCTAATGGTTATGATATACTCTAGCCTTTGGAGGCATGTTGTTTATATAGTGAAGAAGGGTATTGCGGATTCTAATGCGATAAAGGAAATATTAAGTCTTGTGTTTTGCATGCTCACGTTTTACTTATTCAAGCCAGTTAAGGAATCCGAATCTGTTGAGATTAACGATGTAGACGTAGGTCAACCTGCTAAAGGTAAAAAAAGTCAAACGCCTCCCCAAACCGACGTCTCTTTTTCATATCAATTACCGGAAGATTTCAATGGTGAAGCTAGTGTTTAGTCTACTATAGCCAATCATGTTGCCATCCATCACGGTTAAATAGCAAAATTCTATAGGTACCTTCCAAATTGCTTTGTATATCCCATGTTTATATGTGTAATAGTATTTATGTATCCTATGATGTAACCATTTATATGATATGAGTGCCAATCATGTTTTGTATACTTCACGCCAATATAAGTATAATAGTGTTGACGTACCCTCATAATATAACGATTTATGTGAGTGTCAATCATGATGTCATCCATCCCAATTAAATAGGAAAATTACATATGTACCCCAAAATTCTTTTGTGGACCCTCATTTGAATGTAATAGTGCTTGTGTACCCACATTATGTAACGATTTATGTGAGTGATGGGTACATTAAGAACGAAAGCTTGTTGTTTTTTCCTTCCCTATAATCAAAATGAAATTAATTGAAGCCGCGGGGCCTTATCCATTTATTAATTCAGCCCAACTTGAAATTGACTTCGGTTTGCTCCCTTTCACTAATTTAAATAAGGTTTTGTACCAAGCCAAAATAAATTATTTTCAGAACTTTTAATTGATATAACATGCTATTTATTCCCTTTCAGGATCAGTCATTGTCTTCCAAACTTTACCGATACTAACCATTAGCGGCGACAAAAGTCGTCGCAATTGATCATCTCTGTCGTCGCTAATAGTATTAGCGACGCCACGTCGCCGCAATTAGCTCGTAGCTAATAGCCCCATGCCATCTCTAATAATTGTCGTCCCTAATACACCACTGTCGTCTCAAATAATATCATCCCTATTAATATTCCGACAACCGGTAGGATTTTTCCGGCAATACTAGCCGGAGGTCCACGTCGTCACAATTGACAGTAGTCGTCTCTAAAAACGTCGCTGCTAATGGTTTTATTTAATTTTTTTTTTTTGAGAAAAACTTATTTTTTATAATATTAATTTATATATATATATATTATAAAATGTTGTTTTGATAAAAAAATACATATATAAATACATACCACATTATATAAAAACATCAAAAATACCATATTCCATAAACTATTTTCAAACAAACATCAAACATACCATATCTAATAAATCTCAAACAAATGTTTAATATATATCATACATAATCTATTTTCCAAATCAAAAATAACATCCTCCATATCATAAAACAAGAAATACTAGTTGTCTTCGTCTTCCCCACCGTCCTCCCCATCGTTGTTTTCCTCGTTGATTTGGTTTTTAAATGAGCGAATAATGTCTCCAATGGCCGTCACAAATTCCGAGTTTTGAAGAAAAGCATTCACATCAACATCCTACAATTAAGTCACAAACAAATAAGTTATGAACAATTCAACAAACTATCAAACCATCAAAGCACCAAATCAATTAAGTCTATAACAATTTAAGAAACTGCCGAGCTACCAAAAATTACTACAAATACATTAAGGTCTTAACAATATAACAAAGCAACCAAATTTTTTAAGAGTTTAACAAGTACCTGTGTTGGTTGCGATGCTTGTGACTGTGACTGCCATTGGGATGAAACACTTGTACCCGCAGCTGAAGAAGCTTTAGGCCCAATGCCTCTCACATGCCCCCTTCGAGTATCCAACACCTTCTCAAATATTGCGATCCAATCAATGGTATCTAGATCACCACCAAAGTCGGCTATGTGATGAGTCTGTAGAGCAACCTCAGCAACTAAGGCATTCTGTATTTCACAAAGATTGTTAATATACGTTAAAACTAACAAAAAAATTCAACAATCTACTTCGTTTTTAAGTAATAATAACTTACATATTGCTCTTCAACCAATGGATCAACAAATTCCCCTCTTTTATCACGATGAAATACTTCAAGTCTATTCAAATTTTGTTTAACATTGCAAAATATGTTATATTTGAATAAACATTAAAAAATATGTTATTGTTATAAAATATGATCAAATAACAAGATAAATTATAGAATAAAGAAAGACATGAGAGTAGAGAGAACTTTTATTCCAATACTTGTGAAGAAATTATCAAGTTTCTAATATATATGGCTCACTATTTATACTATCCAAATAAGAAGAAAGATGAGCTATAATATGAATGCACATTATGATGGTGTATTATTACATTCATAAAACACATTGAAATGGTTGTTACTAATGCTAAATAATGATGGAGAGTTATGGGAGAAATGGAGAATCCAATGGTCATTCATAAACTAATATTTCATAACACTCCCCCTTGAATGACGATTGTATCATGCCTCGTTAAAACCTTAATAGGTAAAACCTCATGGGAAAAACCATTTGTTAAGGAAAAAGAGTACATGATTAATAATAGATATTTGGAACAATTGTCTCATTAAAAACCTTGCTAAGAAAACCCAGTGGGAAAACATAGCTAAGGAAAAGAGTACAATGTGCTTCCAACTCCCCCTGATCATCACATCACTTGATTTCCTTAAAGCGTCGCATTCCAATATTTTGTACCATGTTTTCAAATTTGGATGTAGGGAGTGCTTTAGTGAACAAATCTGCCAAGTTCTTACTTGATTGAATTTTCTGGATGTTGATGCCACGCTCTTTTTGAAGATCATGAGTAAAAAAAACTTTGGTGATATATGTTTGGTTTTATCTCCTTTGATAAACCCTTCCTTGAATTGGGCTATACAAGCCGCATTATCTTCATATAGTATGGTTGCAACGTCCCTCATGAATTGCTCCACAAGTGAATAAATAACCTCGAAGATATCGAAGAATGTGTTTGACTCCACTCTAATGTCTTCTTGTTGGGCAAGAAATATATCTTGCTAATAAGTTTACAGCAAAAGATATATCAGGTCTCGTATTATTAGCAAGATACATTAGTGCACCAATAACATTAAGATATGGTACTTCAGGACCAAGAAGTTTTTCATTTTTTTCACAAGGCCGAAACTGGTCCTTTTTAGCATCTGAATTCCTTACTACCATCGGGGTAGTCAATGGATGCGAGTTATCCATATAAAACTTTTTAAGCACCTTTTCTAGATAACTAGATTGATGTACAAAAACTCCATTTTTTGGTGTGCTCAATTTGAAGACCCAAACAAAATTTCGTTTTACCAAGATCTTTCATTTCAAAATTTTCTTTCAATCAAGAAGTGGCATTTTCCAATTCTTCAGGAGTTCCAATTATGTTCAAATCATCTACGTAAACAACATTTATCACAAATTCTGATCCGGATCTTTTTATGAATACACATGGGCTTAATGAATCGTTTTTATAGCCCGCTTTTAAAAGAAATGTACTTAAACAATTGAACCACATACGGGCAGATTGTTTCAATCCATACAAAGATTTATTTAATGTTACCGAATATACTTCACGAGAATTAGGAGTTTGTGCTTCTGGCACCTTACGCATCTCCAATTTTTCATGTGTTGCCAGACTTATTAGATAATGGAATGTAATTGCATCAATCACAGGAGAGTATGTTTCTTCATAATCAATTTCGGGCCTTTGGGTAAAACCTTGTGCAACAAGTCTTGCTTTATATCTCACAACTTCATTCTTCTCGTTTCTTTTTTTGCACAAATACCCATTTGTGGCCCACTGGTCTTACTTCGTTTGGGGTATGGACTACAGGTCCAAAAACTTTTCATTGAGTAATAGAATTAAGCTCTTTATTTATTTCATCTTTCCATTTTGGCCAATATTTTCTATTCATACATTACTCGATAGATTTAGGTTCAAGATCCTCATTTTCTTTATGATCGCGCGCGGAACATGATATGAAAAATTATCGTCGACATCTATCTTATTTCGGTTCCATGTTATTCTTGTCATGACATAATTTATTGAGATCTCTTCATTTTCGTAATTTTCAGGTACCCGGTTTCTTTTGTTATGTCATTGGGCTCTTCTGGAGCTTCATTAATCTTTTCAAAAGATTATGTTTTCTCTTTTGGACCATCAATTATATTTGCTCCCTTTCGTTTTCGAGGATTTTTATCTTTGGAACCGGTTAGTCTTCCACGCTTCAGGCGTGCCTTTGATTCATTTGTAGTTGTATTTTTTTCCTTCTGGGATATCAATTCTAACTTGAGTAAGTATAGCTGGTACATGAAACTTTGTTACCCACTTAGGGTCAGTAAATGCTTCTGGCAATTGATTTGCTACATTTTGTAAATGAATTATCTTTTTTATTTCAAGTTCACATTGACTTGAACGAGGAACTAAAACTGAAAGTGACAATTCCTTTCAAGAGATTTTATTTTCCAGCTTCTTTATTTCTCCCCCTAATGTTGGAAAATATGATTCATCAAAATAATAATCATCAAATATAGCTGTAAATAAATCTCCAATTGATGATTTTAAATATTTTACTATAGATGGAGATTCATATCCAACATAAATTCTCATTCTTCTTGAGGACCCATTTTTGTGAAGTGGGGTGGAGAAATGGGTACATAAATTATACATCCAAACATCCTTGGATGGTAAATAATTGGTTACTGACTGCAAACCAGTTGAATAGGGGAGAACTCATGATAACTAGTTGTCATTATGCATATAAGTGATGTTGCATGTAAAATTGCATGTCCCCATGTCGATGTAGGAAGTTTAGAATGCATTAATAATGGTCTTGCAATTAATTGAAGGCGTTTGATTAACGACTTAGCTAAACCATTTTGTGTATAAACATATGCAACATGATGTTCAATAGTTGTCCTAATCGACATGGAATAATCATTAAAAGCTTATGATGTAAATTCTCCAACATTGTCAAGTCAAATTTCCATAATTGGGTAATCGAGAAAATGTGCCCTTAGGCGGATTATTTGTGCTAGTAATCTTGCGAAAGCGAGATTATGGCTAGATAACAAGCACACATGTGACCATATAGTTGACGCATCAATTAAGAGCATAAAATATCTAAATGGTCCACATGATGGATGAATTGGTCCACATATATCCCCTTGAATTCTTTCTAAAAATCTAGGACTTTCATACCCAACTTTATTCAATGATAGACGGGAAATTAATTTTCCTTGAGAACATGCAACACAAGACAATTCATTAGCTTGAAAAATCTTCTGGTTTTTCAAGGAATTTCCACTTGAACTTTCAATTATTTTGCGCATCATAACTGATCCGGGATGGCCCAACCGTTCATACCGAACTTTGTAGATGTTATCATACCTTTTATTTTCAATAGCATGAGATTCAATCATTCTAATATTTGTATAATACAATCCGGAGGACAATACGGGTAATTTTTCCAAAAAACTTTTCTTATCCGATAACATTTTTGTAATGTTGAGATAATTTTTATTACCATCATTAGTTGTTTCAATAGGATATCCGTTAGACCGAATATCCTTAAAACTTAATAAATTTCTTGGTGATTTTAATAAAAATAATGCATCACCAATTGTAATTATTTCCACTTGTGGTAATACTATATTCGCTCTTCTGGAGCCTTCAATCTTGGTGATTTAGACGAAAATAATGCATCACTAATTTTTAATTAGTGTCCCTTTTTGTAATATAATATTCGCTCTTCCGGAGCCTTCAATCATTTTTGCATTACCTGTTATTATATTAACATTTGCTTCTCTAATTGATAAGTAAGCAAAATACTTTTCATTATTAAAAATGCTATGTGTTATTGTATTGTCTGCAAGAAATATATCTTTATTATTTCTTTTGCGAATATCCATGTTTCTTTTCAATAAATAAATAAAACATAAGAAACATTCGACTTAGAGAAATAAATTCATATTTTATTAATTTGGGAAGATTGTGACAACATCATTTCTCATGAAACGAATATGACATAAAAACATAATAAATATCATGAAACAAAACTTTACATTATGCTGATCAATCACCATCCATATCACCACTTGTCCCTTCGGGGTAGACAAGAAAATCGACAACATCCAAATGTGTCATTTCTGGTTGATCTTGATGGATATCACTTTGAATAAAATTTGTTTCGATATTTTTCTTTATATTTTAGAGAATCTTGATAAAGATCAACAAAATGCTTTGGTAAGCGGCATGTACAAGACTAATGATCGGTCATTCCACATTAGTGATAAACATTTTCAACTTTTTTTTTCCTTGGCCACTTTTATCATTAGGATGTGGATTTTTGCTATTTTCCAACTTCTGGTGGTTACTTGTAATAGTGTTATTTTTATGATGATTATGATAACCTCCATGACCTCGGTTAGACCCATGACTATTATGATTATATGATGTTGCATTCACTTCAGGGAATGTACTAGAACCGGTCGGGATTGATTGATCATTTTTCATCAATTCCACGATCTCGGTTAGACTCATGACTATTATGATTATATGAGTTACATTCACTTCAGGGAATGTACTAGAACCGGTCGGGATTGATTGATAATTTTTTATCAATAACTCATTGTTTTGTTTAGCCACAAGAAGATATGAGATTAATTCATATTTATTTTAAACATTTCTCATGATATTGCTACTACAGGAGCATGTTAATAGTATGAAAACTAGAAAAAGTTTTCTCTAGCATTGTTTTCCATAATGAAAATAGAAATCAAAATAAAGACTTGTAATGTAAGGAATTGTTAGTTAAGAAATTCCATAAAATAAGTTGTAAGCATTGTACATGTAAAATTATAAAAAATACATACCTGAAAATTACAAGAACAATAAGGAGTTAGAGCTCTATGGTAGAGTCGTGCTGATAACGTGTTATAAAATATGATCAAATAACAAGATAAATTATAGAATAAAGAAAGACATGAGAGTAGAGAGAACTTTTATTCCAATACTTGTGAAGAAATTATCAAGTTTCTAATATATATGGCTCACTATTTATACTATCCAAATAAGAAGAAAGATGAGCTATAATATGAATGCACATTATGATGGTGTATTATTACATTCATAAAACACATTGAAATGGTTGTTACTAATGCTAAATAATGATGGAGAGTTATGGGAGAAATGGAGAATCCAATGGTTATTCATAAACTAATATTTCATAACAGTTATAACTGAATAAACATTATTGTAACTTACTTTCTTGAAACAAGCACTACCGTAGCTGCACATCCCTCCACGATTCTTCACTACTTGCTTCTTCCGGCATTCTTTGTTTCCAGCGGATCGTTTTTGATGTTTTTCTGTTAAGAAATGGTCAATAGCAGCATTCCAACGCTGCTGATCCATACCCGTAGGGGCTTGAGCCCTTTCTGCCTCCACATTCCCTGCAAAATCATCAAAACGGTTTTTTGCAATATTTTTGCGGCCTCTATACCGCGCACATATCCGATTGTTCAGTAATGCCCAATAAGTTGAAGCCATGGGATGATTTGTAATCGTGTCAAAATCAAACCATCTCTACAAAAAAAAAAAGAGAAATTAAAAATAAATCAAAATTAAAAATATTAAATATATAACTTTACAAATAATTTACCGAAAGATACTGCAACATTCCAACCCTTTCGGCTTCAGAAACCTCTGTCCATGTGCCTTTATCAAAACCGATGTCCCGCCACATATAACTCTCAACCTCCCGAATAAAACATTCGTACACCTCCCCAATCGGCATGTTAGTATTTACGTCAAGTACTATCTTAAGAGGCCATTCACCGTTAGCTTTATAGAGTTTGTGCATTTTTTTTATTTATCGCCATACCTCTTCGTTTCGGAGGCACCACTGCATAAAAAGAATATTAGTCAGAATATCTTTTTATATACATACAATGTGAAATACAATGAATTAGAATAAATTTTAATTACCATTGTTTTGGTGATCACCAAAACCCCCACCGAACGGATGTGGTGGCTCGTCACCACCGTTGCCTCCATGATCCATCACAACAGTCATGAGATGGAGCAATGCAATCCAAAAAAATGACATCCTTAAAAATTATAACACAATATATATATATATATATATATATATATATATATATATATATATATATATATATATATATATAATATGACTACAACAAATACAAACCTTATTTTACTAATTAAATGTAAAAAGATTTTTTAATCATTCTCGCCCCCAGACACTTCAGTGTCTGTCGATACATCACTATCATAATCATAATCTTCCTCATCATAATCAGTCTCGCAATCAGACACATTATTGATGATACTCGTCGGTGGGTCAACTTCAATATCATCTTTAACCGATTGAGAATTTTGAAAGTACTGGCTAAAGTCAATTGAGAGAGTGAAATTAGAAGAAGCATTACTAAGAACGACATCGGTTGAATCATTGTCGACATTTTCAATGGGATCATGATCAACATCATTCATCGGTAGATCCCAAATTCTTCTATGATTAACATTTTCAACAACCCACCGTTGGGTTTCATTTTCGTCACTTGGAGAAGGTTCTTGGATGTAAAATACTTGCTTGGCCTGCGTATCAAATATGAGTTGATCTTCGCTGCTCAATTCGCGTTGTTGGTCGATACTGGTGAAATTATTATCAGATTTAACTCCGGCAGTATCGAACCACTTGCAACGAAAAAGTACGGTGGAATATTTATGAGGATAATGCAACTCGATAATCTCTTCTAGCTGACCATAATATTTCTGCTTATGCTCTCCCTCAGTTAGAACCCCTGAGTTTTGTGTTGATCGTTGGGCGTCACGCATAAGTACCATATACCTAACACCATTCACTATGCAAGCGGTGTAAGTAAATGTATGCGCATGCACACTGATTGAAAGAGCCGATAACTCCTTATTAAACTTTGGAGATTTTTGTTTTTGCATATCATAGACCTTATGAAGGAACCATTTAGGAAATTCGATTTTTTCATCACTTTCAGGATGTAATGATTTGAATTCATTACATTGATGAATATATATATATATATATATATATATATATATATATATATATATATATATATGTAGTAAAAATGCGAAATTAAAAAAGACAATGAATTAAAAGATAAGAACACTTACACAATATACTTTCTGACTTCCTCACAATTATCAAGCACAAACCAATGTAGACGTTTTCTCTCCTCTAGACTGAGATTTTTCATTTTCCTTCCGCTAATCGGTCGACACTTAGACTGAAACACCCATAACTTTGTTTCTTCTATGATAACATCCTCGTTTCTTTCAAGGCGATTGAATCGAGTCTCAACATCTTCAAGGTACATCGAACAAAATGATAATGCCTCTTCAACGACATAACCCTTAGCTGTAGAACCTTCCGGCCTCGCCTTGTTTCTGACATAGATTTTTAGTTTTTTCATATACATTTCAAAGGGATACATCCATCTCATACATACTAGGCCTCCAGAAATTGCTTCATCAGGTAAATGCAAAACTAAATTAACCATAATGTCAAAAAAACGCAGGAGGATAGATCACTTCTAATTTGCACAATATTTTAATAATGGTTGGTTTCGCTTCTTTCATATCCTTCACCAACAATGTTCTTGAACAAAGTTGCTTAAAAAACATACAAAGCTCTATTATTGGCGTATAAACACCTTTCCCCAAAAGACCTTTAACTCCAATGGGTAACAAACGTTGCATAAGAACGTGATAATCATGAGATTTCAACCCAATAATTTAGTATTGGTTTCATTGACTTTCTTACCGATGTTAGATCCAAACCCATCTGACAGTTTCACATTTCTTATAAACTTACAAAAACGAATGCGGTCAGGTTTCGTGAACGAGTAAGGTGGATGGGGTTTATGGAACTTGTTTCCATTCTTTTTCAACCATAGATTTTTCCGAATGTTCAGTTTTGCCAAGTCCGCCCGAGCATTTGATGTGTCTTTAGACTTATCATTCATCAGAGAAGTAGCCACAAGACTCTCAGCCACATTTTTTAGACATGCATAAGATCGAAGTTGTGCTTCAGCTCCAGAGAAGACCAATACTCAAGTTCAAAGAATATGCTCTTTTTGGACAAATTCAACTCGAAATCCTCACGACCTCTCTTAATACCAACTCGTTGAGCAGCTACTTTACCCGGTGGACGAAACAATAGACGAGCGTGTTGCGCTTGTATTTCTTCCTCACTAAACTTTCTTGGAGGACCTCTTGTCTCATGTTTTCCATTATAGTCCAAACTTTTTCTCCATGGATGGTCAACATCTAAGAACCGGCGATGACCAATATAAAAGACTTTATTTGATACTCGGTATGACGGGGTGTCTTCGTTGCAAGTTAGACAAACTTTGTACCCTTGTCCGCTCTAACCAGATAAACTACTACGAGCGGGAAAGTCGTTTATTGTCCATAACAACATCGCTTTCATATTGAAGAATGTATTTGTCGCTGCATCTTTAGTACGTACTCCAAAACTCCATAACTGCTTCAACTCATCCACCAACGGCCTAAGGAACACATCCAAGTCCTTCTTGGGTGCTTTGGGGCCTGGAATCAACAAGGTCAACATGAAAGATGACTCTTTCATGCATAGCCATGGTGGAAGATTGTAAGTGGTGAGTTTAATAGGCCACGTGCTGTGAGGATTACACATGTTACCAAACGGATTAACCATCAGCAACAAGCCCTAAGCGTACGTTTCGGGGTTCCCTCGAGAAGTCAGGATACTTCATATCAAATTTTTCCATGAAGTACCATCAACGGGGTGAATCATCGTACCATCTTTGGATTGTCCGATACTATGCCAAATCATATCTTTAGTTGTGTGTCTTGAACAGTACAAACGTTGTAGTCTGGGGGTCATGGGAAAGTATCGTAAAACCTTATGAGCCACCTTCTTACCCTTTGTATTTTCATCAACCCATCGACTCTCATTACAAACTGGACATTTTTGCAACAACTCGTGTTCTTTCCAGAAAAGAAAGCAGTCATTTTTACATACGTGTATTGACTCATAACCTAAGCCGATCTTTTTAAGTGTCTTTTTTGCTTCATAATGTGACGGGGGGACCCTGTTTCCTTCAGGAAATGCATTTTGCAACAACTCAAGAAGATGATCAAATGAACTATTAGTCCATTTGTTGATCACCTTGATATGCATCAGCTTTGCTAAAAAATCAAGGGACGAAAACGAACATCCAAGATATAATTTGAATTGGACTTCCTCTATCAGCTTTTGAAATCCAACATCAACACCTCTACCGTCTGTATCTAGGTTCCCTTCTTTGCAGTTGGTATCATTTTCAATCACACCTCCCATAACATCATCAATAACATCGGCCATCTCGTTACTACGCGGTATGTCTTCGACAACCGGGTGAGTTGTATTTTCGCCGTGATACTTCCATATAATATAATGTGGACTAAAACCATGTTGAAGTATATGGAATTTCATTATGGCCAGTAGTATGAATTTATTTACATTGCATTTGTTACACGGGCATCTAATTTGACCTTTGTTATCGACATGTGGTTTGGACCTCTCGAGAAAAGATTCAAGTCCTTGTTGGAACAAGGTAGAGTTACGGTTTTCAATAGTAGTCCACGTTTTATCAATAAACATGTTGCAACTGAAACATAAGTTAGGTTTTAGTGTTTACTCTACAAGAAGTAGAACTTGGATTGAATATTTATAAGGATAGAGTAACCGCTCAATCAAATGGAATAGAAAACCAAACAACATGAGAGTATTCACAAGGGTAAGTTTCTTAAACAATCAATCATGTAATACACATATATCGAGAAACAAAGAGAAAATAACAACCAATATTTCTTAAATTATTTTTTTTATTATAGCATGATACTTTAAACGATAGTAGATTTAGCGTAGCGTTTTAATTTTAATTTTTTTATTATTAAATTTTACTTTAAACGATATTATATATTTGTTATTTATTTAATTAGTTTATTATGGTTTATTATTCTTCTTCTTCTTTTTCTTTTTAAAACCATTTTGACCAATTTTGAATTTTCAATTTAATTTTGTTTTTATTTTTCTATTTTGATTAATTATAACTTAGTAGATTTAGCGTAGCGTTTTAATTTTGAATTTTTTTTATTATTAAATTTTACTTTAAACGATATTATATATTTGTTATTTATTTAATTAGTTTATTATAATTATTATTCTTTTTCTTTTTAAAACCTTTTTGACCAATTTTCATTTATCAATTTATTTTTGTTTTTATTTTTCTATTTTGATTAATTATAACTTAATAGATTTAGCGTAATGTTTTAATTTTTAATTTTTTTTATTATTAAATTTTACTTTAAACGATATTATATATTTGTTATTTATTTAATTAGTTTATTATGATTTATTATTATTATTATTCTTTTTCTTTTTAAAACCTTTATGACCAATTTTGATTTATCAATTTATTTTTCTTTTCATTTTTCTATTTTGAATAATTATAACTTAG